TTCGTCCATCATATGATGGACATCATCAGAGCTGGGTTTCATTCTTGTAAGTCTCACGTTAACACTAGGCGAAGAACACTATTCGGCTCTATCTTATTTCTTATATAGACTCAATTTAGCCAAATGAAAATTAAAAACCTAGATATATCGATATAGAGTTGTTTGGTTTATTTTCTTTCATACTGGCCCTAGTGTTAACGTTTTCACCCGAAACGAGGGAGGAAGCCTTGTGGACTGTGTCAAAATGAATATTGTATAAAAGCCAAACGGCTACAGTACTACGAGATTAACCCGTCCTCATGTGGTGAGATCGGCCAACGAATCTCTTCTTCATTCACTTTCATGAGAACTGAAAGTCCCCCTAATAACATGAGACTCATACAAGAATGAAATCTAGCTCTGATGATGTCCATTATATGATGGACGAAAGCTCAGCACGTTTTCACCCGAAACTAGGGAGAAAGTCTTGTGGACTGCGTCAAAATGAATATCATATAAAAGCTAAACGACTGGAGTACAATGAGATTCATCCGTCCTCATCTGACGAGATCGACCAACGAATCTCTTTATCCACTTTCATGCGAACTGAAAGTCCTCCTAATAACTTCTATACTTTCCCTTATTCATTAGTATTATTTATCAAGCTTTATGGAAAGCTCTTAAGAGATTGATTACGCTTTGTTGAAGAGGATTTGTGCTGTCAAAATCAATTTTAATACGGTATTTCTTATTTTCACAATTCCTTTTTATACTTAATAGCACTGGTTCACACTCTGTTTACCAGCACGCTATTCCGAGCCGGAACAAGAATTATTGGCCTCTGATGATGCCCAGCCCTCGCCTATCATCAGGCCGCCAAGTGTCCACCAAATGCTGGAGCAGCACTTCCAATTACCCGCACTTCTCCCAGGAACCTATGAGTTTCAAATAATGGCTGTCTCGCTTGCTGGAAATGGATCCTGGACGACACCGAAAAACTTCACAATTCCTTCTAGAGAAGAAGCTCTTTCTTTTTCAGGTGACATAACATATTATTCGGAGCCTGTCTCATTATAAATGACAACTATGCCTATAATTTCGCGGCCCCAAAACGAAATATTTTTCTTTTGAAAGTTTTCATCGATCAATCTGATTACGACTTTTGCCCATATTTCCATAACGAACTATTGTGAATTATGGAAGTGGAAAATATCTATCCAAGCTGGTTTCAGTAAATTCTTCTCATCTTTTCGGATCCTGCGCAAATTTAGCCTGAAAGTGATTCGCATCTCATATGACAGCGTTTTTAACCCAAGCGACTATAGTTCGCAACTTGATTTAGTGGTTATCTTGCCAGTAGGGTTCGAAACGCTGGTTCATTCGTAATGTGCCTGAATTGTGAGTCTTTACTCGAAGTTATGAAGGCAAAGATGGTATGACTTATTTTGGTTAGGGTTAGTCTGACAATCCGACTAAGTTGCAAGACGTAGTCAAATAACCTTGAAGCAGTACCTTTAAGAAATGCAAGGCATTTTTTAGTAAAAATAGTGGGGTATGATTCAGCATTTTTGTGGATGCTTTAATTTTAATATTAAAGTACATGACGAAAATATTTTTTGGTTGATTTCAACGGAAGACGGCGGCTAATTCCCGCTATTCTGTAGCCGCAAGATATATGAATGCCACCATCTTATATGTATGGATGACTGTCTTGTCATCTAGTATAATTCTAAAGAAATATTAGATTGTTTCCTACTTTCACTTAACCAGTGTGAAACAGATATTAACTTCATAATATAATTATGAGAGGATAAGAACTTATTTTATTTAGATGTTGTGATTATTAGGTAAGCTGGTAATTGAGTGGAGAATTTTTTAGGTAACCAACATCTGTTGGTTCTTTTCTTAATTTTCTTTACAACCACAGCTGCAAAATTAAGGTTGGGATTTTGAAGTTAATGTTTATTAGGAGTATAAGGCTAGCTAATAGAAATCACTTCACTGAAGATTATAAACGGCGGCAACATTAAGTCTAGGAAACTAATTATCTTTTAGGCTTAATTGATAATAATACCTCTTTACTGAACAATACATTTTTAGATGTAGGCCTTTCAGTCAAAGATAGACAAGCCGATACCTGTTATCACGTCCTAATTTTCCCTTCATATCTTCTTTCTAAGAAGGTAAGCGAATAAGTAAGAAAGTGGGTTTAAAAGACGTGTTCAAAGAAACACTCACACTTTCTTTGATTAAGCAAATTAAGTAATAACTACATATGTTTGATTTTAAAAAAGTAGGAAAGAGAGAGTCTGTTGTGCTGCCTTCCAAAAGAAGGCGACCCAATTTGTCAGCCCATTGATGGCTATAACCACACTCAAACTCGTCTAACATCTAAATTAAGATCATTAACCAAACAAGAAGTACGGAATTACGCAGCCGCAGCTATGTCTTTCCTTGGGTTTTTAAGCTTAAATGACCCTAGACTGATGGGTTATGATTGGTGTTTTTGTAACCTGGCTTAGACATATTCAAGTTTACATCACATTAGCTCAACCAGAGTTGCTTTCGGACTTACGCAACCGCGTTAATGCCTGTCTGCGGATGATTAAGTCTTGATGATCCGAGCATGACATTCGGCTTTTGTAATCTTTCGAAAATATGAAGACCAAGATTATGTGGCCACTGGTATGATCGCAGTCTCCTTTTGATTTATAGAGGTGGGCTGACCTTTTTATCGCAGCTTGATCCTCGTCTATAAAAGAACAGAAAAAGCGGAGAAGGATTCAGAAAAGTGCATATGCCTATCTTCCCGCGAAATAATTCAAAAACTACGGCCAATATTGAGGAAATGGAATATTTTGGTGGCCATGAAAGAAAATTCAACACTTTTCACAGGTCTATCGACGCAACATGAAAGGGTAGACAAGTTGAAATGTTCATGCGGTGCCTGCAAACAGAAATATATTGGCGAAACAGGGACGAAAATTAGCATACGAATCAAGGAACATCAAAGGCTATGCAGGAAAATGGATACAGAAATATCAGAACTAGCGAAAAACAGCGCACAGACTGGACACGAGATCAATTGGAAGGCAACATAAAGTAGGGCCTTATACGGTGACAACACAAGGAAGCGTAAGATTATGGAGGCCATTGACATTCTTGTGGAGAAAGATCTAATGAACAGAAGACTGGAGGAAGGTAGAGTTAGCGATAACTTTGCCTGCTGCTTAATTGATAGAATAAACGAGTTATAACAAGTCTTGAACCA